CAGACATCATTCTCAATGCCAATGCCTGAACTCGTTTGAACTTCCTCGCGTTGGTGTCTGTTTGGGTTGCTCTAATCCATATACTACAGCAGTATGATAGAATAGGTCTGATGACAGCGGTGTACATCCATTTGCATGTTTTAGGGCTCATACCCCAAGTGGGGCCGACAGCTCTTCTACATTGCATAAGGGATGCCGTAGCTTTTTTGGTGGTATTGGTGATATGTTCATTGAAATTGAGCTTGCTGTCGAGGGTCACTCCTAGGAATTTGGCAGATTTGGATAGACCTATGGTGGTGTTACCCACCACCACAGGTCTTAGTGTCCATTTCTTATTCCAGGTAAACATGACTATTTGTGTTTTGAGTGCGCTTATGGATAGATCTTTGGTTTGGCACCATTTTTCTATTGTGTTGATGGTTTTGCGTGTTCTGTTCCAGATGATGTCTAAATCATTCCCCTCCGCTAGAGAGAGCAGATCGTCTGCAAAAGCTTGCAGATAACCTGGTATGTCTCTTGCGGTGTAGGCCAGGAGATCATCGACTACCAGGTTCCAGAGGAAAGGGGAGAGGATGCCACCTTGAGGGCACCCTCTCCGGATCCGAACCCTTGTCGACTTATCCTTATGATTTAATGTGATGAATCTGTTAGTTACCATGTTGATAATCCATTGTGCTGTGGCCAGATCCACTTTCGTGGTCTTGATAGCGTCAGAAATAGCCTTGAAAGAGACATTATCAAAAGCTCCCTCTATATCTAGAAAGACGCCTAGGACATATCCCTTCTTAGCTATCCTGCGCTCGATGGTGTGAGTAACTTTATGAAGGGCTGCTTCGGTTGAACATCCTTTCTTAAAGCCAAATTGTCGTTTGTTGATGTCTTTAGCGATATTAAGGTCGTGTTGCATATGCCACAGTATCACCTTCTCCTGTAGTTTTAACATCACTGGAGAAAGGGTGATAGTGCGAAATGACTTTGGTTGGTTGTAGTCAGTTTTTCCAGGCTTTGGGAGAAAGATTCCAAGGGATTCTTTCCACAAAGTTGGAATGTGTTGGGTTTCATGATTTTTTGTCATAATGGTTCTGGTGATGTCTTTGATGTGTGTCCAAGCTTTCTGTATGATGATAGGTTTGAGGGTGTCGGGTCCAGCAGCTTTCAACGGATCGAAGGATTTAAGAGCCTCCTCGATTCTGTCTGGGCTGTAGATGGTATTGAGTAAGGTGGTGGTGATTGGTAGAGGACCAGGTGGAGGCACTGGCGGATCAGTGACACTATCCTTGAAGTGGGTTCGTGTCATGACCTCCAATGTCTCCTCTGCATTTTTGGTGATGTCTCCGTTTGGTTTGTAAACGGCTTCTAGTGTATGTTTGTTGTCGTTACAGGATTTCAGAATCTTATTCATCCTTCCGGATTCCTTAACAGACTCTGTTTCCTGACAAAAAGTTCTCCAGGCATTACGCTGGGAGTTGGTTATAAGTCTGTTGTATTGTTTGTTGCTCTCTCTAAGAGCGAGCCACAGGGCATCAGTCTTCTTTTTGCGGGCAGTAATCAGTTTTTGTCTTATTCCCCTCTGTGCTTCCTCTACTTCTTGAGTTAGCCAGGGGGGTTTGCGGACGGAACTTGAGATGTAAGTAATGGGGCATGCCTCCTCGAAGGCTTCCTTTAGTGCAGTATTGATTATGTCTATTTTGTGATCAATTTCAGTCGTAGTGTTGATTTGTGTGTTGTTAAGGTTGGGGTTATTCGATAGGATCTCATCAAATCTGTCCCAGTCAGTGTTTTTGACTAGTCGGATCTGTTTGGGTTCCTTCTTTGGCCCTGTAGTTATATCGAACATAATATAGCGATGGTCAGAGTTGGAGTAAAGGTCACTAACATGCCAGTTACTAATGAGATCTCCTCCCAACTGGTTTGTTATTGTGAGATCGATAATTGAGTTGTGGCCTCGAGAGTTGAGGAAGGTTGGGGATGATCCTTTGTTGGCACATGACAGCCCTAGGGAGGAGAGAAAGTCAAGAAGCTCCTCTCCCCTTTTATTGCATGCCTTGTTCCCCCAAAGGGTGTGGTGGGAATTGGTGTCCGACCCTATAATGAGCGGGATGTTGTTATCATTTGCGTATTTTGCTAGAGGTGATGTTTCTTGTGGCGGTACCGGCCCATTTATATCCATGTACGAAGCTGCCAGAATGAGTTCTGTCGAGCTGAGTTGGATTTTAATGGCCACTTGATCGGGTGTTGTGAATTGTGTAAGTTCCCAACATTTTACTGTCAGGTTTTTGTGCAGTACAATAGCGGCACGGGGTCTTTTATCCCCGACCTTGTAGTAATATTGGGTGAGATCCTTATTGATGGGTGGTATTAGGTTTTTGTTATTAGAGTACGGTTCTGTTGCAAGAATGATTGGATTTCTCCGGCCGTGAGTGTTGATAAGGAGGGTTTTCCATGCATTGAACTTGCGTTTGAGATTAATTTGGGTGACAGAGTAAGTTTCAGACTGCTTATTGCGTGCTGCAATAGTAGTTTTTAACTTTTTTTGGCGTCTCTTCTTTTTTGTGCTAGTTTGAGCGTCATTGAGCGGAGTGGAAGCCGTCCCTCCCCCTAGACAGGTATTATGACCTATCATTGCCGGTGGGGCGCTGAGGAGTTGGACAGGGTCGGGTAGCAGCAGCTGGCCCTCCAGAAGGTACGCATGGTCCCTTCCAGACAAACAGCCCCCGCCAGACCTTCCCTGAACATGGCTCCCACAGTCCGCTCAATAGACGTTTGTGTGTGAAATTGTGTTTGTTGTTATCTTTTGTTTGTGACCATATGTTCTCACGTGGGTGCGCGCACCCGCGCGAAGATATGATTTTTTTAGCTTTTAACACAATAATGTCGTATGTCGGTTGGACCATTGAGACTTGCCGAGAGTCAAAAGTGGTCGGTTGAAAGTAGGTTGTTGGTCTGATCGCAATGCCAACTGTCGATTCAAAGTCCCCATCCGGCCCGACTGCAAACAACTTTACTTGCTTAAGCTGGTCGTTATGGATAGTGACCGTCCCTCCAGTTGGCACCACTGTTGGTAGTAAAGGTTGGTTTTTGGTGTTGTTACAGTATATTACTTTATAGGGTTCGTGGACGGTGCACAAAGTGCATGAGTCAGACCCAAGAGTCCGTGCACATACATTCGTGTTTGCCGAAGCACACTCTATCCACGATCTATAAAGCAAATGGTTGATCAGTGAGGGTGTATCGTGAGTTTTAACACTTTCTGCGAATCGTAGAAAGATGCTGAGAAATACTACGACGACAGTGTTGAAATGCCGCCCAATAAAACAGGGAAAATGGGTGCTAATGATCGGCATTAAGGGCCCGACCTGAAGCGCACACCCTAAACTTCAAAAACCCTATAGCTCAATGTGAATGAAAGCTGTGAGAGCTCAGGGAGGAAGGATCAGGTGAGTTAAATAGCCAAAAGAAGTGCACGTGCGACTTATGTCCAGTGATGCCCAGCTGGACAGTACGGCTTAGTTTCGGCAGGTCGAGTGAAGCCGAGTAAGCCCCCTTACCACGTCAAGGTCACTTAACCGACTCCAGGCTGCAGTTCCAATCAATCCAAGAATGAAAGACACGAACAAGAAGTGGGTTGAAAGGAATTACAGTCAGATAAATCAGAGTAAGTGGGCGGAGTCTTCACGAATGCTCTGGTGCTCAGGACTGACTCCGCCGCCGTACTTATAATCCCAGCAATTCTAAAGCGTCCAGGAGGCCCCAGACGAGAGGCGGGAGCCCAAACCCCCCGTGCTAGCCCCGAGAAACGGGTCCAAGGCCCGAGAGTTTGACAAGAGCCAGGATCGCAATGCTAACTGTCGATTCAAAGTTCCCATCCGTCCCGACTGCAAACAACTTTACTTGCTTAAGCTGGTCGGTATGAATAGTAACCGTCCCTCCAGCCAGCACCACTCACCCATCCCCGCCGCACCCCCGTGCCAACCCCCAGATCTCAGACCATACCACGAGGAGCACGAACCCACACCAATCCCGCCCAGGACCCACCCAGCCGCTCGAATTACCGGGAAGCTGCCTGGCTAATGCTCTGGACCAGAACAAAAGGGGGAGTATTAGTATTAGTAGTAGTATTAGTATTAGTATTAGTATTAGTATTAGTATTATTAGTATTAGTAATATTATTAGTATTAGTAATATTAGTATTAGTAATATTAGTATTAGTAGTAATATTAGTATTAGTAATATTATTAGTATTAGTATTATAGTATTAGTATTAGTATTAGTATTAGTATTAGTATTAGTCTTAGTACTAGTAATATTAGTAGTAGTAATATTAGTATTAGTAGTAGTAATATTAGTAGTAGTAATATTAGTACTAGTAATATTAGTAGTAGTAATATTAGTAGTAGTAATATTAGTATTAGTAATATTAGTATTAGTAATATTAGTATTAGTATTAGTAATATTAGTATAAGTATTAGTAATATTAGTATTAGCATTAGATTACACTATAACTGAGCCGCTGTTGTTCTTGAAAGAACTTGTATCATGCAGACTATTCGCAACTATTATTTCGTACATTATGATAAACAAACCTGCTGCTCTAGTAACTATAAACCTGATAGTAAGTATAAAGTCAGTACCACCACTTTACACTTTACAGTTAGCTACATTTTTAGCGGTCTTAAGTTACCCCCATCTCAGACGTAAAACTACTCAAGTTTTAAGAACACAGATATATTAATAATATTGTGACTACACGACCGTAATGACATTAATATTATTCCTTCTCCATAGTATTAACTGCTTATTTAGACTGAAACTGAATTAATGCCTAAAGTTAATAAATAAATGAAGCAATATTTTGCTGTTATAATGATTACAGCTGTAAATGTAATGAATTATTTTAAGATTTTCTGTGATTAGCATAATTATCTTGCTTCTACATAATGCGCTAAATGCACTAAATTTCAATACTCTTGTCCGATTAACAAGCAATTTGACCGTTTCAGATGAGTCTGCATTTGATATGACAGCTAGGGGAGAACGACCAACCTACTACCCGTACTTAGAGCACTACCAGCCGAGCTACCCCGCACGACCCAAACCCCACAGAACCCCCACTAGAACGAAGCGTGCCGAGCCTAAACTCAACAAGTACCACTCCCAGTCCGACCAGTCAGGTAATTAGTTAATTAGTTAATTAATTAATAGTCAGGTAATTAGTTAATTAGTTAATTAATTAATAGTCAGGTAATTAGGGGTTATTAGGGGGTAATTAGGGGTAATTAGGCTTTAATTATTGATTATAAATAATTATCATCTATACTTGGTACACTAAGCTATTTTTACAGAATAGCTTAATTTAGCTTAATGTACCAAAATCTCCTAGACCAATTTCGGATAAGCAAAATGTGTAAATATCACAGCGATCCCCACGTGATGCCCTTATTAGGAGATGTAGCGATCTTATATTTTAGTACTTCTCACTTTACGGTGTGAGATTAAGAACACAAAAACACCACCAACCTGGTGATAACAATTTCCAAAATGTAGAACATCTAAAATCTATAACCTCTAAAAACTAGAACCTCTAAAAACTAAAATCTTTATCTTGGATGAAATTTTGGTGGCTGTTAAAATCACGTAAAAAACACATGATACTTTATACATTCGCACACCCAGAGGTGACAAGAAGCTTCTTTGAGCCAAGTGATGGAGAAAAGCGCTCTTTTCCTTTGACTTGTCATGTACCCCTGTTAACTGTGAACATATTTCGTCACTAAGCGTACATAGTTTGACAGTTGTCTGCTGCAAACAGTTTTCTTAACTAGCTTAAAACATAAAACCCGCATAGCATGTTTCATATCAGAAGGAGGGGGTCAGGAAAGGAGAAAAGGGCTTTTCACAATATTTGGAGTTGTGATGAATAAACCGATGCATTTCTCTCAAATCTTACTAATATAAACTGAAAAATTGTCTCGATCACGTGATATGACTGTCATGTAAAAGGAAGTTGGTCTAATTTCTCGTTAGGGTTAGAGTTTCAGTATATGCTTTTGTTAGGTATTATGTTAGGGTTAAGGTTGGGATCCGATTAGAGGGTTAGGGTTTCGAATAGTCATTCAGGGCCACCTAGAAGACGTTTTTAAAAATTCACGTGACATAGTCGAGTATAGAGTGATTAATTATTATGCCGCACTTAACTGCCCGGCCGGTTTAAAAGGACCTTATAAACCGTTAAAATACATTATTGAAATTGGGTTGAATGAACTTTTAAATAGTTTGAATAAGAACTTTAGGCCCCGAAGTGGTGTCATAATCCCAAAATAAATAAATATTGTTGTCTACTGAAACTGTAGGGCCCATTTCGATCTATCCCACTTTAAATAACACCTGTTACTTTGATTGCCTAACTCTAACCCTAACTAAACTGAGATGAGCCCATGGCCATTTTAGTGTTTCCCGCGATGCGCTACTATTAACTAATTAAGTATAGTACAGGGTCTATGCGCAGCGCGACCCAGTGCACAGGGGTGCCATAGTGCAAAGAAACTGCTGCTGACTGCTGCTGACTGCTGCTAACTGCCGCTGACTGCTGCTAACTGCTGCTGCGCCGCTAGCAGGAGTTAGCAGGAGTTAGCAGCAGTCAGCAGCAGTTTCTTTGCACTATGGCACCCCTGTGAGTGGCAGTAGTGCATCGCGCTACAACATACAAATCTGTTCGCCGAATTTGTAAACCGACCTTTTGATTTGTGTGCATAAACAAACTAACAGTAACACTAACAAAGCTTGCTTTTTGAATAAATCTAAGATATTTGGTACTAATCAGGCTCACTGAGCGACTCAGATGAAGCTGCAAACGCAAAAGAAGTTGACCAATTCGTGGAACAAGAGCCGCCGAAAAGGAAAAAGAAAGCAAAGCGGCGCGCGAACCGTGCAGCACTTGAACAGAAGAGGCAAGAAATAGAAATGGAGAGTTTTAAAGAGTTCGCTTCTACTGTGACGGCCGATTATCTTGCAGAAATGTGCAGGTAACAAATCATCTCGTGATGATCATAGTTTTATCATTTTATTTTATTTGTCTGTAATCGTACGTGTTTGTGAAAACTGAAATATCAATCGTAGTTTTACGTTCGGTGCCTGTGCGGTATTACGTCGTGTATTTGTTTAACTTTACTAGTTTAGAAGTTCAATCATTTGTATTGAATTAAATTCAATGCGTATACATATATTGTATACCAACGATATTGTATACCAATATATTGTATACATATATTGTATACCAACGATATTGTAGGGAGAGAACTGAAACAGAGCGAGCGAGGTAAGTACAGACTCGGCTCGATCTTTGTCCAGCACCAAAGCCATTTTTCTCCGATTCATCCGTTTGGGAATTTCACGACTTCATATTATTTTTACACTTTGGTTTCTTAAATGTGGGGTTATCTAAAAATAGCAAATAAAAACTAGGATAGGATTAATTTCTTTTTGTAGGGTTGAGAAACGTTTGGTATGAGAATTGCTACCATAGCTACAAAATAGAAAATATTCCAATTAGAAATTAGAAATTAGAAATTAGAAATTAGAAATTAGAAATTAGAAATTAGAAATTAGAAATTAGAAATTAGAAATTAGAAATTAGAAATTAGAAATTAGAAATTAGAAATTAGAAATTAGAAATTAGAAATTAGAAATTAGAAATTAGAAATTAGAAATTAGAAATTAGAAATTAGAAATTAGAAATTAGAAATTAGAAATTAGAGATTAGAAATAAAAAATTAGAATGATCTTTGCAATTTAACACTTGTATCCGATCAAGAAATTATTAATAATAATATAGGATGAGTTTCAACAAACTGTTACAAAATGCACTTTTCCATTAATTTATTTCATTTGACGACAGCCAATAATGATTACTGCTTGGATTCAACTACTTTTTAATTGCTCTGGAATGTGTTTAACTATTATAAACAGAAAAATAATTATACAGGGTGGGCCAAAAGTCAGTACCCATACGTTGCAGATGGAACCTACTTGTTCGAGGATTCCGTCGCCAAAATTTGAAAATTCGAATAATTTAGACCACCCCTTTCAATATTAAAACACTTATATTGTTTTCTCTGAACATACTGGACGCCTAATTTTTTATTAGGCGTCTGAAAAATGATTATTAAATATTGCATCGTGAAACAGATTAGGAATGACGAAATTATCAAGCATTTTGTGTATCTCGTTAGCAAAATTGATTGGGTGATTATGTGACACCGTGACATACATACATGCTGCATGAAGAGGTCTCCTCCTAGTCGTTGGAGTGGCCTGCATCACACACATCTCTTCTACGGTGTAACATGTTCATTGTTCCTTCATTCCTAACTGTTTTACTACGTCTCTGCTGATGTTATCGACACCTGTAAAGTAGCCCGGTTCATAAAACAAAAATATTATCCAATAATTACGGCGATAGGCTTATCTGTTGTTCCTTAGGCCAAATAACTACCAAAAAAATTTTGAAGCTTCAACTCCAACCGGAAACACCCCCACATGCCACGCCCATTTTTTTCATCAATTTTTAACAGGTAAAAATCTTCATATCATCAATTTAGGCATGAAGGAGTGCTTTTAGTGCTCCAACAGTTTGGGGTCTAATAGTAATGGTAGAAAAAGGTTAACTTTAGTCAAAGTCTCAAGTCTCCACGGCGCTTGGTTTAGGCGCACCGGATCTCGCGTCTCCGCCTCCGCTGCGTGATTGGTGGCGCCAGAACTAAAGGTCGTAGAGACATGAGACTTCAACTAAAGTTAACCTTTTCCTACCATTTATATTAGAGTAGCACAGATTCAGAGCTCTAAACACATTCCTTCATCATTAAAACGACAATCATATGAATTTTGCCTGTAAAAGTTGATATCTTGATGTCAATTAACATCGTAAGCTTTTAAAACTAAAATTAATTAAATGAGTCATAATACTTCACACAATATTTACACACAATATGAAAATATAAATACAGGAAGTCTTTTGGATTCCACGTCTCCACACCCTGGAACTGTCAGAGGTAAGAACACTAGAACAGTCTTTTATTAATAATCCAACAATCATATTATATGAACCTTTTCAGTTGAAACTTCGTTGGTTGCATTGTGTTGCAAAATTTCTTGCATTACAATACTAGTGAAATTGCCCTCTTCCAAGCTCTCTTACAATGAAGTCGCATTCCGGAGACTAATGTTTATGAATGAGCAGTCACTGTCGAGAACGAGCTGGTCGAGTATTGGGAATATGCCATCTATGGCGTGGAGAATTTCCCCTCTATACCGTGGAGAATTTCCCCTCTTCATGAATCCTACAAGAATTTAACAAGTATTCCCCCATCTTGGAGAGGGAATCAGTCCTTCAGCTTCAAGAAATTCAGTTTACAGAAGAGATTCATTTAGATGTTAGATCCATTACTGATAACTTGGTAAAGGAATTAGAACCAGATGCTACTTTGTTAGCTAATGCTTGGATATTTATAGTTATTTACTTAACTTTGTCTTGACGTATCAGTAAGAGATTACTGTACCTCGTTATTTACGAAGAAATCATCAGACCTTATTAATAGTGATCGGTGACCCTGTCAGTGACGACTGACGAGCTATGAAGGAATCATTGGATCTCATTGATAATGATCCTGTCAGTGACGAGCTATGAAGGAATTATTGGACCTCATCAATGCTGATCCTATCGGTGACGAGTTATAAAGAAATAAAGACCTCATTTAAATCCTAGTTTGACGAAAATATTCCTCTGGCAACAAAATTCCTTTTGGCAACGAAGATTAGACAGCTTGCTTGTGAAGACTTGGCGATCCGAAAACCAGGGTACCTAAATCAGAACCTGCTGACTTCTTTAAAGGATCAGTTCCACTTTCCAGTGCAGGGACCGAGAAAAGTTCAATATCGAATCCAAGAGACTTCCTGTATTTATATTTTCATATTGTGTGTAAATATTGTGTGAAGTATTATGACTCATTTAATTAATTTTAGTTTTAAAAGCTTACGATGTTAATTGACATCAAGATATCAACTTTTACAGGCAAAATTCATATGATTGTCGTTTTAAGGATGAAGGAATGTGTTTAGAGCTCTGAATCTGTGCTACTCTAATATAAATGGTAGGAAAAGGTTAACTTTAGTTGAAGTCTCATGTCTCTACGACCTTTAGTTCTGGCGCCACCAATCACGCAGCGGAGGCGGAGACGCGAGATCCGGTGCGCCTAAACCAAGCGCCGTGGAGACTTGAGACTTTGACTAAAGTTAACCTTTTTCTACCATTACTATTAGACCCCAAACTGTTGGAGCACTAAAAGCACTCCTTCATGCCTAAATTGATGATATGAAGATTTTTATCTGTTAAAAATTGATGAAAAAAATGGGCGTGGCATGTGGGGGTGTTTCCGGTTGGAGTTGAAGCTTCAAAATTTTTTTGGTAGTTATTTGGCCTAAGGAACAACAGATAAGCCTATCGCCGTAATTATTGGATAATATTTTTGTTTTATGAACCGGGCTACTGTAAAGTCAACCGCATTCTCGAGTATACAGACCATCCAGCCTTTGCGGGGTCGTCCTCTCAGTCTCTTTTCATAGTTTTGTTTCCACTTTCCATCCAGTAAATACGATAGGGCGGCCTAAAAAATTCCCATAATGTTTAACGGGGTGGTTAACAGGGTCACCTTATCACGTGATTTGGTAAGCCGATCACCTGATCTCACGTAATGAATAAACTCGTTATGCTTCGTATCTCGGCGGGGGGATCATAAGGTCAGAATCGTACGTGACGTTGGGGGTGGGTCATATTTTCTTCCAAAACGCAGTTAGTACTTATGTACTAAGTGGTGGGTCTGCTGCTCATTTCCCAGAAAAACAGTTAGTACATGGTACTAAGGGGGTTGTCCAACCCCAAAGAAACCCATTTTACCTCTAATTTCAATTTTGGGAATTAAATGGGTTTGGAGGTTTTTTTCCTTTTTTTTGGGTTTTTAAAAGGTTTTTTTTCCTTTTTTTGTAACTTTTTATCTAATTCGACTACATTGAAAACAGAACCCCTTCTAAATAATGGGTATAATTTGCCCGTTTCCCAATGTTTAATGAGCTGTTTAAAGCAATGTATGGGTGGGTATCTTATTTTATATAGACACAGTATAAAGACACAGTATAAAGACACAGTTAGTACCGTGATTTCTCAACAGTTAGTACCGCAACTAACTACCGGGGTAGGCTCCTAAATATTTTCCGAAAAAACAGTTAGTACCGGGTTGGGTGGGTCTTTTTTGTAAATTCCTAAGTTGCACTTAGTCGACGTCACGTACGGCACTTGATACCTGATCCCGAAATGCGAAAATAAACCTTCATTTGAAAAAAATGAATACGAATATTTTTCGAGTTGACAAATTCCTCGAACCAGTGGTAGTGGTGGTACTAAGTCATACCAGAAAGAATTATTTCAATTGGGCACTCAGTGACTGAGCTATAAAGGCCAATATTTTTCGAGTTGACAAATTCCTCGAACCAGTGGTAGTGGTGGTACTAAGTCATACCAGAAAGAATTATTTCAATTGGGCACTCAGTGACTGAGCTATAAAGGCCAATATTTTTCGAGTTGACAAATTCCTCGAACCAGTGGTAGTGGTGGTACTAAGTCATACCAGAAAGAATTATTTCAATTGGGCACTCAGTGACTGAGCTATAAAGGCCAACGTATGGGTACTGACTTTTGGCCCACCCTGTATTTGCACTACGTTACTAATTGTTTTATTTTACTGTACAAATTATCTGCATTTGTGAATGTGTCAGGCATGAGATAATAATATTGCAATTGGTACGGAATGAGTCTGGCATGAGTCTGGCATAAACTCCGTTTTTTTGTATGCACCCATACAATATGTTATTCTGATTGATTGTAAATATTCCGACCGTTTTCCGGAACCTATATCGGGCTCCTGAAACCCATATAGGGCACTTGGAACCTATATAGGGCACTTGAATCTATATAGGGCACTTTGAACCTACATAAAGCACTTGGGACCTATATAGGGCACTTTGAACCTATATTTATAACCTAAGCGTTGGTTTGATTACAACAACTTTACAATTTCAGTAAAGCGTCCAACGGTAGGAGATTGATCTGGGTAACGCTGTGGTTAGCCTCCTTTGTGTATGCCTGGTATAACATAGGTGAGTCTATCTACACTCGTATACACTATACAGTCAAACCTCTCTCAAACCGTGCCTCTATACCGTGCCTCTATACCGTGCCTCTATACCGTGCCTCTATAGTCTATACCGTGCCTCTATACCGTGCCTCAATACCGTGCCTCTATACCCCCCCCCCCCCTCTTCTCTAAGTAACACTATTCTATATCCTCAGCACTCAGTATAGGAGTCTTTATGAGTAAACCGACAGCAACGAAACTAAACTTTTACGAAGCCGTCCAGCGACGGTGTCATTTTCCCGACCGTGACCATTTGTAACTTTAACAAGTTCAACAAGTCCTATTTTGACACGGATGAAATGTCGACTAAAAAAGGACAATTAAAAGACTTTCTAAAAATAACGACACCAGTGTGGGGCCATAGGCAGGAGTTCGACGCTGCCTCCTGGGATACTAAGTACGATAAAGTGAGTGGAGGTGAATTGGGTGTCCCATCATTAACTCTCCCCATTTAATATTGTATTTATTGCTACCTTGGGTTATTCGTTAAAATGTTTATCGCATGCTGATCTTGCCAAATCACAAAGCTGAAGCTCCTCAATTATTTATGAATTAGATAAATCAAATACAATCAATTAGTTAAGTAATATACGATAATATAACAACCTAGCACTGCATAATAACACTAAAATCTACTGCTGTATCCCCTCCTGTACTATTAGAGGTTAGCCTTGAAAGTGAAACCGCCTGTAACGTTCTCTTCGTCAGTTGAAAAACAAATATTAGCGTATTTTACTAAAATATTATTACTATGTAGTAAAAAAATAGAATTAATTTAAATGCTGATATAAAGGAAAATGAATGATTAAGGAAAATGAATGATTTATACATCCTACAGATGAATGATAAAGGAAAATGAATGATTTATACATGCTGCAGATGAGAACCCCCCCCCCCCCCACCCCAGTTCAGATGATGAACATAAGTTAGAGACTCAGTTAAACACTGAAATATCTCTAATTTTCAAATGAGCAGCCTAGCAGGCTCCAGCTCTATAACTGCGGAGTTTTATTTTGCTGGTCTTGGTGTGCTGTTTTCATTTTGTGTGACTTCTTAATAGCTTTGTGGTCCATCTTTTCAGATAGTTCAACAGTCAATGAAGGATGTGTTACAAACGGCCACACATTCTTTGGAGGGAACTATCGAGTTTTGCAAGTTGGTATTCAAACATTTAATCGAGAGGGAGGGTGCTTTGATTCAGGGCCGCCTCTAAAAATAATAAAACTAACACTCAGTGTACGAGTGAGTTAACCATGCTGCGTCCGAATTCGAGCACCCTCTCCCTCCATCTTTAAGATTATCAATATTTTGAACGGTTTTCCTCTCCCCTGCAGATCAAGGACCTAGATCTGGTAAAGCTGTATAAAAACGGTTCACATCTCCTCCAAAAAACGGTCGAGTTCTGTAGGTATGCGATCCTCTGCCACCTCCTAAATCAGCTTCAACTCCAAGCTTGTACCGCTGAAATTGTCGCGTGATATATTCCTTGATGGGCTAGACTTATTTTTGTTGTGTCGAGTAATTTGTGTGTGCACTGAACATAAGACAGATGGGATAATTTGCATCAAACAGATTACCTACCTACCTATTGAACCTATTGATTAGAAACTTTTCGGTTTAGTTGAATGATAATGATTGAGATTCATGTGATAGCATGAGTCCTACACCAAATCTGGCATTATTTTCCAGTGATATGACTATAAGGGTGATTACACTAATGTCTTATATGGTAAAGCATCTGTATTTCAGTTGATGCTTCCTCACTATGTTAAATAGTTGGCACATTGCCACCAACTTCTCCATTTGCTCCTTAGCCGTTGGTTTGATTATCCGCTTGTAGCAACCTTGAAGCTTAGTGCTATATCTTCGCTACATACCCATCATGTCTCACCCAGAAATCTGCAGTGTTATCTATTCGCACTGGACACAATTTCACAAATCTTGATATTTTGAATTTTATCTAATCAATCCTTATCAAATAACTAAAATACCAATAATCGTCAGGTTTAGTGGGAAACCTTGTCTACCGACGGGTTTTAATGGAACATTTGAAGATATTGATTTAGAGTCAACAGACCCGACTGCAGCTTTTAGTACGGTATGGTTTTGGGCAAATGTTTTTTCCCGAATATTTGTGAATTGTACCTGAAAAATATAAAATCCAATTATGGTCTCCTTCTAGAGGAAGTGGGATTATTGATATCACCTTAGTCTGAACAAGTAACAGGACCTTCTATCACCAGGTTTTCACAGAGCACGGATTGTGCTACTCATTCAACCAAGACGGTAACTTGACCATGTCACGAACTGGCGCCCTTTACGGACTCAGCCTCAGGCTTCATGTCGCTCAGGACGACTACTTCGAAACTCAGGTACATTCTTGCAAAGTGTATAGTATCTCTAGATATTCTAGTTAATTTAGCTTTGTTGTAATTTTAAACAAGATATGAAGTGGATCAGGTTGAAAAGTGGATCAGGGTAAAAAACGATATATGTCGATACAAATTACAAAATAATATTTGGTGATTGAAACATTTCAATAAATTCATCATAAATATCACTACCATGTTTACCCCAAGTATTTAATCTTGATTTATTAAACTTTACAAACTTGTTGCGCAATTGCAGCTAACTTAAATCCTATTTAACACACTTATTTTACAGGACGTGGCTGGATTTAAAGTGCTGCTTCACAACTCATACGAACCCCCAATGATTGAAGAGTACGGGTTTGCTTTACGACCAGGCTCTGAAACTTACGTTAGAATTAGACTCCAAAAGGTTATTATAGCTGAAAGTGTGAGTTTTTTAAGTTCAAGTGTTGACGTTGATGAAGGAGCAATGAGCGGTATATGAACGGATTTGTATCAGTTTTTATTTAGCGGTTCGAATTAGAGTTGATGAAGGAGAGTGGGTATTTATATTGTGAGGAGTAAACAACCAACTACCAGAGGATACCTACCTACTATTACAAGTATTGTAGTACTGTACCTTATATTACCTCATTAAAACTTTAAAAGTTGTTTAGTCCCTATCGTTCCTTCAATCTGCTGAAGAGTTACGGGTTATTCAAAACCCCAGATCGTCCTTCGTAAGGATTTATTAAACTGAATGATGTGAGAATATCGGTTTTCATTTGTGAGCATCATTGTTGTCAAGCGTTGTTTTAGAAATGAGTGAAATGTTAGTTAAGTAGATAACGGTGCAGTTTTCAGAGAGTATTCCTAAAACATGGGCTCGGACTTTTTACTAAATTTCTACACGGTCACGGAGACTCACGTGAGAATCGCAAGAAATATCCGGTAGTTATATTGTGAAGAGTATTGAATGTGTGATCATGTGAACTGAACTCAACCCCAATTAAAACAATCTCCGATGACTTAGGTCGCATTCAATGCTCCTTCATCAACATTTTCCGGATTCAATATGTGTTATCATTCGATCACCTCATAAAAAGTCGTCGGAGATTGTACCGTGCGATTTTTAAGCCCGGAGTGAAAATACGCATACTCTGTGTGAACCCCACTTTGTGAATGTGAAACTTTGTGAGTGTGAACTTTGTGAGTATCTAGGTGAGTGTTATGTGACTATCACGACGTTAGTGACGACATTAGTGCCATCTTATTAAAGCTAAGTTCTATGACGACATTAGTGCCAACTTATTAAAGCTAAGTTCTATGACGACATTAGTGCCAACTTATTAAAGCTATGTTCTATGACGACATTAGTGCCAACTTATTAAATCTAAGTTCTATGACGACATTACTGTCAACTTATTAAAGCTAAGTTCTATGACGACATTAGTGCCAACTTATTAAAGCTAAGTTCTATGACGACATTAGTGCCAACTTATTAAAGCTATGTTCTATGACGACATTAGTGCCAACTTATTAAAGCTAAGTTCTATGACGACATTAGTGCCAACTTATTAAAGCTAAGTTCTATGACGACATTAGTGCCAACTTATTAAAGCTAAGTTCTATGACGACATTAGTGCCAACTTATTAAAGCTAAGTTCTATGACGACATTATTGCCAACTTATTAAATCTCAGTTCTATGACGACATTAGTGCCAACTTATTAAAGCTAAGTTCTATGACGACATTATTGCCAACTTATTAAAGCTAAGTTCTATGACGACATTAGTGCCAACTTATTAAATCTCAGTTCTATGACGACATTAGTGCCAACTTATTAAAGCTAAGTTCTATGACGACATTAGTGCCAACTTATTGTATCTCAGTTCTATGACGACATTAGTGCCAACTTATTAAAGCTAAGTTCTATGACGACATTAGTGCCAACTTATTAAAGCTATGTTCTATGACGACATTAGTATATAAATCCCCAGTATAAAGATACCCCTCGACCGCTGGGTTACTGTGATCCCTTGCTGGAGCAGAAGTTCAACACTAACTATACAATATCCGTGTGTGTCATGCAGTATCGGGCTATCAACATGCTGAAGAAGTGTGGCTGCATCGCTTTCTACATGGATCGACCTGACATAGGTAAATCTGTTAAAAATCTATTCCTTCAGTCATTGCCAACCCCCCACCCCCCCCCCCCCCCCCCCTTACACTTCCCCCAATTACTCAATTACAATTTCACCGACGAATACATTTCTAACATTTTATAGTATTTACATTCTCAGATATATCGGGTGATCAACCTTATATAAGACCTAGGATATGTAACTTGAAAGAGGAACGAACATGCGCTGATCAAGTGTTAGGTAAAAAGTAATGAATTATTAAGCTTCCCCAGCTTTTTATAATCGATCGTGTCAATGAAACTGCCATTCCTCTGCGATATTTTGGAATACCTATTACTATTAAGAGACACTAACACGGAACTGAATAACTGACCTACCTGTGTGTACTGTGTAGTAACACCTACCTGTGTAACTCTTTATCCCTCAGAGGGTCTAGCTCTGGGCACACTCCGGATTAACGGAGAGAAGGTTCCAGACCCGGACTGCCCTTCTCCGTGTGTTTACACTACCTACACCTACACTGTATCTCAGTCAGAGTACCCCAGCAGCGCTGTCAAGGATAAGGTGGTGGAGGAGGTGAACAAACAGAAGGGGATATCTCCCGAGGAGGCGGACGAGACTGCGTGGACTATCGAGCGGATCAGGTCTGAAGACATTACATCCTACAGGCTCCTTTACCTCCTTAACCTCCTTCACATTCTTTACTTCCTTTACCTCCTTTACTTCCTTTACCTCCTTCACCTTCTTTACTTCCTTTACCTCCCTTTCCTCCTTTGCCTCTTTTTGAACCCCTTTTTAAATCTCTCAGCCAACATTTTTGAGTTGATACAGAAATTGTTGTTTCAGATTTTGATGAATTTTGTACCAAAAGTTGCATAAAAGTGTGAATAATACAAATTAATAATACAAATTTACTGTGAACATCGGAGAGAAAAAGTTCAGTGCCAACTCTTGAGATAAACTATTTTAATAGTTCCTGCTCAGGGACAACTATTTAAAAGTTCACATATACTTCGAAGAACTCTCTACTCTAGAAATGGAGAGGCATCCCTCCTACCTCATCTCAAACTTAATTGGTAAGGATTTTCCCACAACCATTTTTGCGAAGCAACAAATTAAAAAATGTTTACAAATGGTAAAATGGTGAAAAGAGGGATTTTTATAGGGATATGTTTTAGTGTATAGTGATTGTATAAAGACCATTGTGTAATGTTCACCTCAGATCACTAACATTAACAAGTACTTATTACTACTCTACTTGATATTACTCACTAATATTATTCTCCCAGGTGACGTGGGAGGACAGCTGGGTTTGCTTCTTGGAATGAACATTTGCTCTCTCGTTCAGTTTACTGATTATATTATACGCTTCTCTTTCTTTAAGGGTGTGATGAGCCTCGTCCGACTTTATAAAGCTAAAAAACAAAGAGAGAAATAATTATTTAATGAACGGATAACGTTTTTTATTCCTAATCTTTTTTATAATTATTTGTTAAATGTTGATGATAGTAAGGGTTGGGATGACCAGGTAAAGCTCAATAAGGTGATAGTTTGCAAAATAATTGCAGATTAGCAAATAAAACTTCTATTAAGTGTTATCTGTTGAAGGGTTAATATTTTCTAAGCGTACAATAACAGTAACATGTATGTAACAATTGTACTGCTTATGACCTTTTTTTAAATTATGCGATGTAAAGTTTGAATTTGATGTATTAAATTCAAATTTAACCTTATTTGAAATGATCATTATTATCTCGCTATGTATTTCTAAACGAAACATGTAATTGTAAGGGGCCGTCAATAAATTACGTCCCTCCCTCCAAGTCCATCTCGGAAACCCTCTCCCCCTTGTTTAAACCTCTCCCCCTTGTTTGACGACGTAATTTATTGATGGCATCCTATAATTAGGTAACCTAGGTAACAAGCTAGATAAACATGGTAATACTGCTATAAGACTGTTACACTCCGTATCTGTAACTCTACTCCTCACATTAATATCTGTTACACTCCGTATCTGTAACTCCTCACATTAATATCTGTAACTCTACTCCTCACATTAATATCTGTTACACTCCGTATCTCTAACTCTACTCCTCACATTAATATCTGTTCTTGTTTTCCTGTGCCACCACTTTCAAGTTGAACCAGCGTTTAAATTTGGATTTTACTCCCTTTTTCTCTGATTTTTTTGTGCTAGTAGTGATGGAACTGTCATCAGGTCTCTCGAATACGTCTGGATCGCTAATTGGGGACACAACATCGGGCGGATCTGACGGAGCTAGTGATACCACAGGGCTCGGTGTACGGTCCACCACCACATTTTCAGTAGGTGTAACTCTGCGTTCACTCCCGTCCTGAGTTGGTGATAACAGCATATCTTTATACAAAGAAAACTTGTCCATCATTCCCTTGAAGCTGAATATTTCGGTCCACTCCGCTGGTCCAACGGATTGTAGTTGTAGCGTTTCCGGCGTTTCTCTTGGCGCTGTTTCTATGTTCAGTGAAAGTTCGATTATTTCAGATAAATTATCCGACGGAAGTTTTGTAGGATTTGTTTCCGCTTGCGTATTTTTAGGAACATTTTCCATCGCTGTAAAATCTTCCACCTCAATTTCTGGTTCCTCGACATACACGCTTTGACGTAACGATGTCTTAGTGGAATGGTTCGAACAAGAGCTTTTATGATCAGATATCGGTTCTACTTCATATCCACTTTTAACTTTAACTTCTGTCCGATCACCTTTCAACTTTTGGCGTTTTATCTCAACATCTAGAGTTTTTATTGATCGGCTCAACGATAAATTTGAAGGCGAGGATTCATTTCGCTCTCTAAAGATTCCTAACCATGAGAATAAATCGGTCAAGAAAGGGAAACAACCTGAACCATCTTCACCGTCCCCACTGGAGCCATAACAATTACAGCAGGTGTCAGGGCAGCAGCAGCAGCATGCACTATCACCTGGTATAGGATCTGATACAGGTGTCGGGCCTGCACTATCACCTGGTATAGGATCCGTTACAGGTGTCGGGCCTGTACTAGCACCTGGTATAGGATCCGTTACAGGTGTCGAGCTATCACCTGGTATAGGATCCGTTACAGGTGTCGGGCCTGCACTATCACCTGGTATAGGATCCGTTACAGGTGTCGGGCCTGTACTAGCACCTGGTATAGGATCCGTTACAGGTGTCGGGCCTGTACTAGCACCTGGTATAGGATCCGTTACAGGTGTCGGGCCTGCACTATCACCTGGTATAGGATCCGTTACAGGTGTCGGGCCTGCACTATCACCTGGTATAGGATCCGTTACAGGTGTCGGGCCTGCACTATCACCTGGTATAGGATCCGTTACAGGTGTCGGGCCTGCACTATCACCTGGTATAGGATCTAATACAGGTGTCGGGCCTGCACTAGCACCTGGTATAGGATCCGTTACAGGTGTCGGGCCTGCACTATCACCTGGTATAGGATCTGATACAGGTGTCGAGCTATCACCTGGTATAGGATCTGATACAGGTGTCGGGCTATCACCTGGTATAGGATCTGATACAGGTGTCGAGCTATCACCTGGTATAGGATCTGATACAGGTGTCGAGCTATCACCTGGTATAGGATCTGATACAGGTGTCGGGCTATCACCTGGTATAGGATCTGATACAGGTGTCGGGCTATCACCTGGTATAGGATCTGATACAGGTGTCGAGCTATCACCTGGTATAGGATCTGATACAGGTGTCGGGCCTGCACTATCACCTGGTATAGGATCCGTTACAGGTGTCGGGCCTGCACTATCACCTGGTATAGGATCCGTTACAGGTGTCGGGCCTGCACTATCACCTGGTATAGGATCTAATACAGGTGTCGGGCCTGCACTAGCACCTGGTATAGGATCCGTTACAGGTGTCGGGCCTGCACTATCACCTGGTATAGGATCCGTTACAGGTGTCGGGCCTGCACTATCACCTGGTATAGGATCTAATACAGGTGTCGGGCCTGCACTAGCACCTGGTATAGGATCCGTTACAGGTGTCGGGCCTGCACTATCACCTGGTATAGGATCTGATACAGGTGTCGAGCTATCACCTGGTATAGGATCTGATACAGGTGTCGGGCTATCACCTGGTATAGGATCTGATACAGGTGTCGAGCTATCACCTGGTATAGGATCTGATACAGGTGTCGAGCTATCACCTGGTATAGGATCTGATACAGGTGTCGGGCATGCACTATCACCTGGTATAGGATCTGATACAGGTGTCGAGCTATCACCTGGTATAGGATCTGATACAGGTGTCGGGCCTGCACTATCACCTGGTATAGGATCCGTTACAGGTGTCGGGCCTGCACTATCACCACCTGGTATAGGATCCGTTACAGGTGTCGGGCCTGCACTATCACCTGGTATAGGATCTGATACAGGTGTCGAGCTATCACCTGGTATAGGATCCGTTACAGGTGTCGGGCCTGTACTAGCACCTGGTATAGGATCCGTTACAGGTGTCGGGCCTGTACTAGCACCTGGTATAGGATCCGTTACAGGTGTCGGGCCTGTACTAGCACCTGGTATAGGATCTGATACAGGTGTCGAGCTCTTTTGTATTTCTTCTATTTCTTCAATGTTCATACTGCATGTTGCTTCACCAACTCTCGCAGTATTTTCAAATGTTTTCTTGAGGTTGACTGCAAGTGGTGACTTAGCGTCAACTTGGTAATTAGTGAACGAAATTGGCTCCGTCGTACTAGAAGCCACATTGCAACTACCATCACTACTACTACTACTACTACTAGTACTACTACCAGAAAGAGATGAGGAAACTGACTCTGTTTCACCAGCCGATGAAGTCTTGCTGAGTTTCTGAATTTCCAACTCATTCTTATCTTCCTCGTCAGGAATCTCTCCATTGATAGAGCTGGTCGGGACAGGGTCCCAACCTGCTTCAGACTGCGGACACCTGGTTTTCTCATTCACAAGAACACTACTAATAGTAGTAGTAGTAGTAGTACTATTCACAAGAATTTGCTCTCCTGATCGATCAAGTTCAACCTCATCATAATTTTGAATTAGATAGAGTCCGTCGACTTTATCATTATCAGTAGTGTCTATACCACTACTATTATCATTATCATTATTATTAGTAGTATTATCGCACAATTCCTCCCCTCCATGAGTAACAGTTGCTGGATACAGAGGTGTCGAGCTCACAACGCCTATTTCTCCGTCATCTGGAGTATCTTCTGTTTCTGAATCCATTTTCTTTGAAGCCATGATAGGGCGAGTTAGTGACTCAAGTGGTTTGTGAGACTCAGTGTATAGTAATATGGGAGGGGATGTACTAAGAGACTGGGAGGGGATGTCAGGCTCCGGAGACTCTTTTAAACCGGACATCCAACTGCTCACTGTGATCTATTAGGACATGATCGGATCATCTTATTTTCCTTTCTGGGCGATGAATATCAATAATTACTTTAAAATTTATCAAATAAATATCAGTCTAAGTTCTAATTTAAACTAATTACAACACTGCAAATATATTACATTTATTGAGCTATGTAACGTAGTACTAATTGTAACGTCTCGTCCATGACAAAGGCGTGGGCCGAAAAACTAAGCGGAGACTCTCACTTTGTCCTAAAACATCAATTATATGATCGACCTACTCAAAAGTGCGAAAACAGATTATTAAAAGTTCTAGCTAGATAACAAATATAAAGTAACAAAAAATAAATGCTACTACTTAAATTTATCATTTATACAGCGAATCTTATTCTTAAGACTGTAGAATGTAGATTTACCTTGGTCAATATTTATTACTGCATATAAGGTAAGGACTGAAAGTTTGTGTACTATATATACTAATGTACTACTAGTTTGTGTACTATATCTTAAACAATAATCTCAGAATGTGTGTTTTCTGTGTGTGTGTGTGTGTGTGTGTGTGTGTGTGTGTGTGTGTGTGTGTGTGTGTGTGTGTGTGTGTGTGTGTGTGTGTGTGTGTGTGTGTGTGTGTGTGTGTGTGTGTGCATGTGTAATTTCCGAGCGGCTTACGAGTTACGGGGTTGGTTTTTTCGGTATAGTGCCGAGAAAACACTGACAAAGCCAAATGGTAAAGGGTTTTTTAATCAGTCGGTGGTTTAATTGATGGTTTTGTACCACTACCACACGAGCCAATAGTTATACATTATAATATTAATAAACTATTTAAAGGATGGGAAATATGCGATGTTGGTATTTTGCATACGGAAGTAACATGAGCTCAAAACAATTCAAAAAGTGTTGTGGACGTTTTCATCGACGACTTTTTGCTGAACTACACGGTTTGAAAAATCATAATTACATGATTATGAATATGATCACAGAGCTGGCAAGCATGATCGGCGACTAAAAGATAACGTTCAGTTTCCAACTAGGCTGGAAGATAACGTTCAGTTTCCAACTAGGCTGGAAGATAACGTTCAGTTTCCAACTAGGCTGGAAGATAACGTTCAGTTTCCAACTAGGCTGGAAGATAACGTTCACTTTCCAACTAGGCTGGAAGATAACGTTCAGTTTCCAACTAGGCTGGAAGATAACGTTCAGTTTCCAACTAGGCTGGAATATAACGTTCAGTTTCCAACTAGGCTGGAAGATAACGTGTAGTTTCCAACTAGGCTGGAAGATAACGTTCAGTTTCCAACTAGGCTGGAAGATAACGTTCAGTTTCCAACTAGGCTGGAAGATAACGTTCAGTTTCCAACTATACTGGAAGATAACGTTCAGTTTCCAACTAGGCTGGAATATAACGTTCAGTTTCCAACTAGGCTGGAAGATAACGTTCAGTTTCCAACTAGGCTGGAAGATAACGTTCAGTTTCCAACTAGGCTGGAAGATAACGTTCAGTTTCCAACTAGGCTGGAAGATAACGTTCAGTTTCCAACTAGGCTGGAAGATAACGTTCAGTTTCCAACTAGGCTGGAAGATAACGTTCACTTTCCAACTAGGGGAAGATAACGTTCAGTTTCCAACTAGGCTGGAAGATAACGTTCAGTTTCCAACTAGGCTGGAAGATAACGTTCAGTTTCCAACTAGGCTGGAAGATAACGTTCAGTTTCCAACTAGGCTGGAAGATAACGTTCAGTTTCCAACTAGGCTGGAAGATAACGTTCAGTTTCCAACTAGGCTGGAAGATAACGTTCAGTTTCCAACTAGGCTGGAAGATAACGTTCAGTTTCCAACTAGGCTGGAAGATAACGTTCAGTTTCCAACTAAGCTGGAAGATAACGTTCAGTTTCCAACTAGGCTGGAAGATAACGTTCAGTTTCCAACTAGGCTGGAAGATAACGTTCACTTTCCAACAAGGCTGGAAGATAACGTTCAGTTTCCAACTAGGCTGGAAGATAACGTTCAGTTTCCAACTAGGCTGGAAGATAACGTTCAGTTTCCAACTAGGCTGGAAGATAACGTTCAGTTTCCAACTAGGCTGGAAGATAATGTTCAGTTTCCAACTAGGCTGGAAGATAACGTTCAGTTTCCAACTAGGCTGGAATATAACGTTCAGTTTCCAACTAGGCTGGAAGATAACGTTCAGTTTCCAACTAGGCTGGAAGATAACGTTCAGTTTCCAACTAGGCTGGAAGATAATGTTCAGTTTCCAACTAGGCTGGAAGATAACGTTCAGTTTCCAACTAGGCTGGAATATAACGTTCAGTTTCCAACTAGGCTGGAAGATAACGTTCAGTTTCCAACTAGGCTGGAAGATAACGTTCAGTTTCCAACTAGGCTGGAAGATAACGTTCAGTTTCCAACTAGGCTGGAAGATAACGTTCAGTTTCCAACTAGGCTGGAAGATAACGTTCAGTTTCCAACTAGGCTGGGAGATAACGTTCAGTTTCCAACTAGGCTGGAAGATAACGTCCAGTTTCCAACTAGGCTGGAAGATAACGTTCAGTTTCCAACTAGGCTGGAAGATAACGTTCAGTTTCCAACTAGGCTGGGAGATAACGTTCAGTTTTGTAACTAGGCTGGAAGATAACGTTCAGTTTCCAACTAACTGAACAGATATTGTTCAGTTTCCAACTAGGCTGGAAGATGATGTTCAGTTTCCAACTAGGCTGGAAGATAATTTTCAGTTTCCAACTAGGCTGGAAGATAACGTTCAGTTTCCAACTAGGCTGGAAGATAACGTTCAGTTTCCAACTAAGCTGGAAGATAACGTTCAGTTTCCAACTAGGCTGGAAGATAACGTTCAGTTTCCAACTAGGCTGGGAGATAACGTTTAGTTTCCAACTAGACTGGAAGATAACGTTCAGTTTCCAACTAGGCTGGAAGATAACGTTCAGTTTCCAACTAGGCTGGAAGATAACGTTCAGTTTCCAACTAGGCTGGGAGATAACGTTTAGTTTCCAACTAGACTGGAAGATAACGTTCAGTTTCCAACTAAGCTGGAAGATAACGTTCAGTTTCCAACTAGGCTGGAATATAACGTTCAGTTTCCAACTAGGCTGGAAGATAACGTTCAGTTTCCAACTAAGCTGGAAGATAACGTTCAGTTTCCAACTAGGCTGGAAGATAACGTTCAGTTTCCAACTAAGCTGGAAGATAACGTTCAGTTTCCAACTAGACTGGAAGATAACGTTCAGTTTCCAACTAGGCTGGAAGATAACGTTCAGTTTCCAACTAGGCTGGAAGATAACGTTCAGTTTCCAACTAGGCTGGAAGATAACGTTCAGTTTCCAACTAGGCTGGAAGATAACGTTCAGTCACGCTGATGAGTATGACTCAGAGGATGAAGATAATGTTGTTTGGGCTGCAGATCCTGATCTAACAGGTAATTACAGTGAAATGTTAATATATGGACACGTTCATTGAAGTTTGAGGATATTGGTTAATTAAAAAAATAGCGTTTTCGATGATAGTGGCTTAATTTTCAGAAGTTCTGGACATTTGCCACATGACCCATACTTTCAACACTACTATATAAAAAAATAATTTGAGATCATGAATATAATACGATGTTGTAACATTGAAAGTGAAACGATGAGTAATTCCTTTCCTGATAAGAGAACTTTTCCTTGTCGCATCAAATTCAAACGGGATCAATACAAATTTATACAAGAATACATTTACCCATCTTAAACAATAATACGGCCGGGCTAGTACTCTCATATTTACACTGCTCAGTGCTCAGAAAGAAAATCTATTGTTGTTAGGCACTATAATGGTTAAAATTTCACATTTTTGTGACTTTGTTAACCATAGCTGCCCAATTAGCATGCCAAAATATAGTAGATTAGGTCAATCTATCAATTATATTTATACAAAGGGCACGGATCGAGCGGTTATAAGGCAATGTTTGGTCAACTTTTTACACTCAGAATATGGTACCTCTTTTCTACTGTAAGATGTCCTCAAAACCCTTTCAATTCATTATTTGATGGTTCTTTTACCGATAATAGCCCTAACATATGTTGTTTTGAAAAGTTAGCAAATACAAGCACTTGGTTATTGGGAAATGATGTAAATTCTGTCACATTACATGATGGAATTTGAAATTTTCGGTGAATTGCCGAAATCATTTATATCTAAGGGTACCCATCTTTTTTTGGTTTGAAAGGCGGAGAAACTCTATTATATAAGGACGATAAAGTTGATTCAAGTTAAGGGCAGTTGATGCGAACATTGTCACAAAATTGACACGAAATCGTTAATAGGTTAAATTTTGAAACAATGATAACCATACCTCGATTCTTCAATATTCGATTCTTCAATATTCAATATTCTTCCAGAAATGATTGGTAAGTTATTATTCAGCAAATCGGAACTCAAGTTTAACAATGTTGAGGTTAATTTTGCTAAGTTACCGAAATATGACAAAATTCATGTTTCCTGCCCCGACAGTATAAGTAAAAATTCAATGTGACAAAAATTGGTATGGGTTTCTATATTTCCTGTATAAATCAATTCAAACTATAATAAGGACAGATTATTTGAAAGGAAATGAATTTAACTTTTACAATAACTTGTGTGACGAAATTTACACTTCTTGCCCCTATTTTGAAAAATTATACCTCGATTAGAATATAATGTTACCTTATCATCATACTTATGTCAATAAACTAGTTGTTTTGCCAACAAGGAGCAAATAGAGTAGTAATTTGTTACTTAATTTCACACATGTTGATTGTTGAGATATCATACAAATATATGTGACAAAGTTTACATTTTTGTACCTTACTACTACTACTACTACTACTACTATGTCGGAGCTAAGTCCGATCTACGCCAGAAAA